CTTTGCAACTTTTAAAGAAATAGATCTGTCTTGATTATTTAACAAATTGATTATTTAACAAATATCAAAAATCAAAAATCAAGCTTGCACACTGTTTCTCTCTCTTTTATATCTTTTGAAAAAGATTTTGTGGTACTTTTCCAAATATTTGGGCTCCCCCAAGCTCTTTTTACATGTAGATGTTTGTTTGGCTACACAAGAAGCCATGTTAGGATCAGTGAGTTTGCTAAGGATATATGGGATATATATCTCAGGTCTGTAACAAAATGAGGATGTATCCTAACGAAGCCAATATTCTCATTAGCCAATCTCACCTTTACAGTTTCATACCAGCAAGGCTGCTTGACTTGATAGTAGACAACTGATTTGTATTCTGAAATACCTTCATAACCAGCACCTGGATGGATAGCTTTCTTTGGAGCACATCAGAAACAAAAAGGAACCAAAGAACAAATGACAGAAAATGAGACTTAATCAGTGATAGGAGAGAAAAACTTTCATTTATAAAACAACTTCCCAAATTCATTTCAAAGAGGGGCAAAACATTCCACAAATTTTAAGAGTCCTTTGAAACGAATGTACTGTATGACTTTATTTGGTTTGTCTCTCACTTACTATTCTGGAAACCCCTTCCTTACCTCTAAAATGTTTCCATCTTCATCATGAACAGACATGGTAACCTCCACATTCTTAGGTGTCTTCTTTTTCCCTTTGTCAAACTCCCCATGCATCAGAGTGACGTAGATATCATTCCGAACTTCACCTGCAATGAAAACAGAGAAGTATAAGAAAAACTATTTTGACCAACTTGGAAATGAGAATGCGGTCTTACTCTTTTCTCAGGGGTCTGTCCACCATTTGCAAGACATCTGCCCTCATTTATTTCTAAAAAAAAAAATAGATGTAGTTTTGTTCTTCTCCCCCCTTGATGCAGAATTACTCACCAGGCAATATAATCTCTGGGAATCCCATTTTGCGGGCCACAGCTGTCGATCTGTCAATGAGATGAGAAAAATCCTTCTGAACCTGCGCTAAATCACCAGGCAGCAGTTTCAGAGAAATCCAGAGGCCTAAAAAGGGGGTGGAGAGCAAGAACAGCATTAGTGCTATTGGAAAAAGTGGCAACCCATGCAGATTTGATAAGGAAAGAGAATTAATTATCTCCAAAGTGAATGGCTGGTTAAAATAGAAATATACAGAAACATCTTCTCTTCTTTTCTTTACAAGAGCTTTTTTCACCACTTGGGGGGAGAAATAAGCATTGGTGCTGCTTTTATAAAGACCAGTGTTGTGTTGAAGTCTTTCCCTGCTCAAGGCAGGCAACATACTTGCAAATATATCAGAGGAGTGTGGCAATTTTCACATGGGAAGATTTGACCTTTTCTTCTCATCAACAAATTCCATCCCGGACTTTGAAAATGCTTCTGATGGGGTCTATAATGATTGTTCTTATGATTTTCAAAGTACAAAATTGAAAGTGGGTATTTAAGCTGCATAATCGATGCACAGGAGAGAGCCAATAGGAGAAACTCAAAGTTGGTAGAGGTTGAACTTTAGAGGGTGGTGGAATACCTAACAAGATAGGCTCCTCCATGTTTTATTTTGACTCCTGGAGATTTAGTGGGACAGTTCTCTCCCTCTTGCTCAAATCAAGCAGGATTGATTTAGGGGTCTCTTTCCCCATGTTCTTCCTTTGAGAGCACTATTTCTTTCACTCTACACTTCCAACCCCTCTTACAATGGCTCACTAGCACAATTTTATTGTAGTTTGTTACCTACATATAATTAGCATGCCAACTAAATTTGTGTGGCTCTCCCCCTTCATCAGGAAAACTGAATCAAATGGATGAGAGGTTTTCTGACCAGTCTTGCAGGAAGGAGCCCACGCCAGTGTTCTTGACCAATGAACCATCCAGGGCCCTGAATGAGTTTTCACCTCAATGGAATGTCCCTCCCTCCCTCCCTCCCTCC